GCCATATTCCCAGCGCAGTGACATACCGGCATGGCGGCCATATTCCCAGCGCAGTGACATACCGGCATGGCGGCCATATTCCCAGCGCAGTGACACACCGGCATGGCGGCCATATTCCCAGCGCAGTGACATACCGGCATGGCGGCAATATTCCCAGCGCAGTGACATACCGGCATGGCAGCCATATTCCCAGCGCAGTGACATACCGGCATGGCGGCCATATTCCCAGCGCAGTGACATACCGGCATGGCGGCCATTTTCCCAGCGCAGTGACACACCGGCATGGCGGCCATATTCCTAGCTCTACCTAAACAACGACAAGGTGCTCAGTTTCAGGGAGGACCTTCACGGCCCTAAATGCCAGCAGACCGGCCAGATCCAGTCGGCACACCTGGGCTCACGGGACAATGGGGGCAGAACAGCAAGTGATTGAGGGCGGCCCCCGTCCAATGGGCAGCCAGGGGAGAGGGGTGGGGGGACACAAAAGGGGACAGAGGGGAGTGTGAGAAAGGGATGAGCTCTTTGTTCCTGAGCAGATGGTCCTTGTGTTCCACAGGAGCAGGAAGACGAGCACAAAGGCTGCCCCCCCCCACCAAAAAAAAGGACTCCTCTCCAGTTGGTTCCTTTCAGGCTTTTCTTCATCATCCCAATTTAATGAGGCTGCACTGGGTTCTGCACTGACATGCTGCCATTTAGCTGAGAGAAGCACGTGATATGAGCGGATACTGAGCATGCCCAGACAGCCAAGGGACGCCAAGGCAGAATGTGCCAGGAGCCGGGCAGCGTCTTGGACACGCTCTGCAGGAACCAATCAAAGATGGCCCACATACTGCTGCTGTTTACACTGAAGCAGCGTGACATGTTAAATACGCCTGTGTTATCATAACAGAGCCGGGTCACTGCGCTCTAGGGCCTCAGCAGAAAGAGCACTTTGTCTCTGATACTGATACAGATTCCAAGGAGCTAAAAATTCAGATAATATCACCTACATCATTTTATATGGCCCCGACACTAATAGTTTCGCTTAAACAGTGCTTTAGTGGTCTGGTTTTGTCAAACTCAGAAATAAACACACTGTTAAAATAATATAAACAATCAGTTTTGTATGGTATAATATTTCTATTCCCTGGCAGTCAATAAAAACTCTTGTCTTATTTGGCGTTTGATTACGTTTTTTCCATCGCGTGGATGTTTTTGTTGAAGTTACTTATTGATAATAAAATTAATTATTTTAAAAAATAATTTGATGTGAATTTAAATGAATAGCATACTGACTTTTTCTGACATTAGTACATCTTTACATATGTGGGGGGGGGGGGGGAGAGGCTAACAAACGAAGGATAATCACTCATTGAGGGAAATGAACGAATCAGTGCATAAACCAATATCATTTTATTCACTTACAAAGATTTGTACAAAAACCCTGAATCGTTTATGAGCAACACAAATACAATGTCTTGTGATTTACGGTCTTCTTCTTCCTTTTCTGTCATTCAGTGAAGTGAAGGTAGACTTCATACATTTATTAGATAGTGGATTTCTGATGCTGGCTGACTCACGTATGTCTAACCGCGGTAAATAAAAGTAAGTACACAGTACACAGGTCACCATGCAGAGCAGGGCTGCAGTACACAGGTCACCATGCAGAGCAGGGCTGCAGG